AAACAGGAATATTTTTTAATTTATATCTAGTAATTTATAAGATACTGATATAGTTTGTTTGAATAAGAATGGCCCCCAATAGGGTCATATATTTGAATGGTTAGTCACCAGAGAGTGGCACTATTGGGAAGTGTGGCCTTGTTGAAGGACCATGTCACTGGGGGTTGGGGGTGTTTGATGTTTCAAAAGCCCAAGCCAGACCCAGTGATTTTCTGTCTTTCATCTGCCTGTAGATCCAGATGTAGAACTCTAAGCTCCTTCTCCAGCACCCTGTCTGCCTGTGTGCTGACATGGTTTCAGTCATCCTCCCCACCAAGCTAATGATGTCCTAACCTCTGAAAGTGTAAGCCAGCAACAATTAAATGCTTTTGTTCATAAGAGTTACTGTGGTAAGGGTTTCTCTTCCAAGATATAGAACACCAACTAAAACAGTTTGAATGTGTGCCCCATATTTCACGTGCTCTTCGACCCCTCCCCCCTCCCCCCCGAGAGAGGAGCAGCCTTGCTAGGCCACAGAAGAGGACATTGCAGCCAGTCATGAAGAGACCTGATAAGCTAGGGTCAGATGGAAGAGGAAGATGTGATCCCCTATCAGTGGACTTGGAAAGGGGCAAGGAGGATATGAGGGAGGGAGCTATGGCTGGGATACAAAGTAAATAATCTGTGATTAATATAAAAAAATAAAAAAATAAAAAAAGAACCAAGCATTACCTGCTTACAAAATCTCTCAAATGCTATATTTAATGAGTCATAGAATGCTAGAAGTGGAAGGTATCTTCACAGTTAAGCTTTCCATACTCTGTAATTGGTAAAGAGGGAAAACAAGCCTAAAAGAGCCTTACTAGTGATGTAGTCAGAACTGAGTTGCCACACTCAAGATTGATCTTCTGAGCCCCCAGAGTAGTATTGTGGTACATATATTTACTTTTATTTTTCATATGTGCTATAACATGAATAAGGTTGTTGTTGTGAGGCAGTTTTTCATGGGTCTGTTGAGGTTTTTCATATATTAGACAAACTTTTTGTTCTTTGTCACCCACAATAATATTCCTTCTTATTCTGGCATCTGTGAAACTTCAGCTATCCTGATACTTCATTGTACAGAACAAAACCTCAGACACTTCATGATTCCCCAGTTGCTAGCAGTAGTTTCAGAAGTTGTTAATAAGTATTTTTGGATAGTTGTATTCTATTTAAATTAGTTTTGGAGATGCAAAAGTAAACAGCAAGACAAAAATTAAAAAAATATGGAAAGAGGTTATAATCTTGTCAGATCCCATAATTAAAGATTATTGTGAAATATTCTCAGGCATTGGGGTGGGGAGCAGTGATATATTTTAGTTATTATTTGAATAAGAAATCTTATCCACAATTTTGCAAAGAATGATAGAAGGAAATTAGTAGAAAGTGAATATATACCATAGGATAAGGATGGAAGTGTGATTGAGGAAAGTATTTTTCACATCCCTTCTAAACTTGAAAGACCCCAGCCTCACCCTAAGTTAAACATAGCTAACGCCATTTTGTGAGACACCACTGTTTTGTAAAACTCTATAGGCTAGGTGGGGAACTGGAAAATTACTGAAAAATCCTAGCTGTGTCATCCACTTGGGATATCTGTGGTCAGGCTGCCCCAGTCATACTAAAAACAGTTTGTGTTAATCACCTTCATAGATATCTGTGAGACTGTTTCAGTTAAGATAGAGAAAAATAAAATAACAGGTGGCGGGCCACGTCAAGGGGTCATCATAACCCCCTTGACCACCCAGTTCCTGGAATCTTGGTGCCCCTGCCAAACTTTGACGCAAATCGTGGTCTCATGAAAATGTATCAATCAGCCCCCTGTAACCATGCCTCTCGCTTCTGTACCAGTGCTTCTGCTCTAAAACCCTATAAAAACCCCAGCTTCCTACCTAGGGGGCGCGGAAGTCTCCCGAATGACTTTTCGCCCCGGGTACCCGTGTATCAAAATAAAAGCCTCTTGCTGTTTGCATCCGAATGGACTCGTTGTTCTTTGGGAGGGGGTCTGTCTGATGGAAGGTACCCTCCGGGGATCTTTCAAACTCAAATGCATTAAGGTAATACAAATTGAAGCATCACTTTAAGGGTCAAAACTGGAAGCAAAAGAGTGAATGTGGTTTGCTAGAAAAGAAGATATAGCACTCCTATATCTTGATTCTTTCTGGATCCCATGCTTTATTTGGGTGCCACTTAAAAAAAAAAAAAAAAAAAAAAACCTCCTCGTCCCGTGAACCTGGCATTACAAGAGGAATCAAGGTGGTAACATCCTAATCAGAACTTTATAATTATCTGTATCTCTTCCCCCTCTCCTTTTTTTCTTTTTTTGTTTTTTCAAGTAAGGTTTCTCTGTGTAGCCTTGGCTGTCCTGGACTCACTTTATAAACCAGGTTAGACTTGAACTCACAGAGATCCACCTGCCTCTGCCTTCTGAAGTGCTGAGATTACAGGCGTGCACCACAGTGCCTGACTCAACTTGCTTTATTTTTTCTTCTTCTTCTTCATGGTCTTTTATTTATTCATTTATTTATTTATTTTGCATAATGCTTATTTTATTTTTTATTTTTATATTTATTAATTACACTTTATTCACTTTGTATCCTCCCATAAGCCCCTCCCTCTTCTCCTCCTGATCCCACCCTCCCACCCCCTTCTTCACGAATGCTCCTCCCCAAGTCCACTGATAAGGGAGGTCCTCCTCTCCTTCCTTCTGATCTTAATCTATCAGAACTCATCAGGAGTGGCTGCATTGTCATCGTCTGTGGCCTGGTAAGGCTGCTCCCCCCTCAGGGGGAGGTGATCAAAGGGCAGGCCAATCAGATTACGTCAGAGGCAGTCCCTCTTCCCATTACTATGGAACCCACTTGGACACTAAACTGCCATGGCCTACATCTGTGCAGGGGTTCTAGGTTATCTCCATGAATAGTACTTGGTTGGAGTATTAATCTCTGGAAAGACCCCTGTGTTCAAATTTCTGGTTCTGTTGCTCTCCTTGTGGAGTTCCTGTCCTCTCCAGATCTTACTATTTCCCACTTCTTACATAAGATTCCATGCACATTGCCCAACAGTTGGCCATAAGTCTCAGCATCTGCTATGATATTCTGCAGGGCAGAGCCTTTCAGAGGCCCTCCGTGGCGGGCTTCATGGTCTTTTATTACAGCAATAATAACCCTAACTAAGAGAGTATCCCAAGGCTGAAGTAAACTCACCTCCTTGTGGGTATATTCCAAGATTTTATGTTGCTTTAATTATCCTGTGCATTTATCAAAATATGACACCTCTCCTCTAATAATGTGTGGGTTCTTGTTTCATGATAATGAGGTATCTAAACTAATTGTGCCATAGTACTTGAGGTTTGATCAATTTGGAAGGGGAGATAGGGAGCTAGACTCTGAGGTCCATCCCTGTGGTGGTTTGAATAAAAATGCCCCCCCACAGGCCCACAAGGAGTAGCACAATTAGAAGATGCAGCCTGGGGCTGGAGAGATGTCTCAGATGTTTTGAGCACTGGCTGCTCTTTCAGAGGCCCTGGGTTCAATTCCCAGCACCCACATGGCAGCTCATAACTACCTGTTACTCCACTTTTAGGGGATCCACACTTTCACCCAGACATACATGCTGGCAAAATATGAATGCACATGAAAAAAAATAGTTAAAAATATAAAAGGTGTAACCTGTTGGAGTAGGTGTAGCATTATTGGTGGAAGTGTGTCACTGGGGACACACGTTGAGGTCTCAGATGCTCAATCCTGGCCCAGTGTCTTATTCTCTTTCTGCTGCCTGCTGATCTGGATGTGGAACTCTCTTTTCAGTTCCTTCTCCAACACCATGTCTGCCTTCATACTGCCTTGTTTCCTGCCAGATGACTAAATCTCTGAAACTGTAAGCCAACACCAATTAAATGTTTTTCTAAAAAAAAAACCAAAAACTCCTCTAATGTGAAAGCCTTTCTCTTTTACTTGTCCTTTGTGTGTGTGTGTGTGTGTGTGTGTGTGTGTGTGCAGGCCAGAAATAAATGTAAAAGATCTTCAAAAAAAAAAAGAAAGAAAGAAAGAAAGAAAAAGAAAGAAAGAAAAGTAAAAGAAAAGAAAAAGAAAAGCAAAAGAGGTATAGATGCTGTAAAGCATCCCATTTTAAGTATGAAACATTCAGATCTAGTAAGAGGAACGGTATCAAGTTCATGGATTCTAAGTACAGTAATAAAATATAAGTATTCTTAATCACTCTAATATTTATCATTAATTTTGCTTATGTCCTTTTGCTTATTTATAACTCATTTTTAAGGGATCTGGACGGAAAATACCATTTTATCCCACTTGTACAGTCGTGCTATATGATTATGGGACGAATATCTGCCATATTGGCTCTAGACATGTCATATCTAGCACTACACAAAACAGAAATACTCCCTATGTGCAAGATGATACTCATAAGCCTCACAAGCCAGGCCGTTATTGAATTCTTGATGTGGTCACTGTGACTGAGAAACTGATTCCTTAGGTTTTCTGAATTTAAAATAATTAAAATTTATGTTTAAAAAACCATTTCTGGCTAATGGCCAGTACAGGTGACTAACTATTGTGACTGTAACAACTACAGTATAAACAATGATGTTAAGAGGAATTAGGGGCATAACTAAAAATCTAAATTTTAGTTATTTTTGTTAAATGCAATAAGCAGCAATGCTACTAGAATACATGCTATAAAACTCCTTCACTCATTCAGTAAAGGTTTATAAAGTGTGTAAGTGCAACGGAAGTACATAAAACATGATCCATCTGAGGCTTCCATCTATGGAAGGCTCCAAAAAAACCTCACATAGAAGAAATGGCCCTCAGATCTCGCGAGAACTGCAATTGTTACAACTGTCACGAGAGTTCCAAGCTTTGTGACAGTTAATGTCCCACTAGAGCTTAACTGGCTGAGGTTCTGGGCGCTACAACCACTGAGGCCTGGTCTCAGGCCAATTAGAGCCTTGAATCATGCCTTCGGATTTCAGGCCAAGGCAGGGATGGTATATGCCCAAGAATAGGGCTTTCCGTGGAGGCCTTTCAAGGATGACAACTTCAAATACGTGGTATAGAGGCGAGAATCCTGCCCTCCGGATGTTTCAGGGTCCTCGGTGGAGCAATGTGGCTACTGTCCTCCGGTTTGGCTTTTGGGCTACAGTACAGCAGTATCTGCAAAATATGTGGGCCCGGAGGTACTTGGCCCTGTTTTTGCTTTTATTCTGGTCTCCATTTATCCTGTTATATCTTGTGAACACCGGTGAGTGTTGGGGCTAGGATAGAGAAGGTGGGACAGGGACTTGGGAAATGTGAAACAGATGAGTACGAGGGTGGGGCAGAATGATGGGTAGTGCCCGGGAGGCAATTGAAGCAAAAGGAGGGTGATTGGGGTGTTAACCAGCAGGGTTAATGGCCAAAGGTGGCAGGGTGAGATGAGGGCCAGGGGAATTGATAGAGACCAAGGCGTCTGGTGAGGCAGGAATGGAGGTGAGGCTAGACAAGGATTGCAGGGTATCTAAAGTGGGGATTCAGAGGTGAGACAGATACTGAGGTGATTAGGATCAGGGACCATCTCTGAGATGAACTCAGTGGCTGGCTCTTGGATCACCTCCACCTGAAGGGAGAGCAGCCTTACCAGTCCACAGAGAAAGACAAAGAATCCAGTCCTGATGAGACCTGATAGACTATGGTCAAATGGAAGGGGAGGAAGACCCATATCATTGGAGAACAAGAAGGGAGGGTGAGATTGAGAGGGGATGGAGGAGGGGGCTACAGCTGGGATACAAAGTGAATAAACTGTAATTAATAAAATAAATAAAAGTATATGAAGTGATTGAGGGTTTGAGTCTGGTATTAAAATGTGTGAGGAAGATTTTGGGAGGGTAAGGCAGGATTGTGGTTGTGGGTAAATGGAATTGAGGGAGAGGCAAATTATTGAGGTTGGACTGAGTGTATGAACTAAAGGGATTGAATTAGTCTTCCTTACAAACTCTTTACTTCACACACTTCCTTTTATAAAATGCCTGTCTTTCTTTAGGGCTAAATAGTGTTTTAGTATATGAATTTTACGTATATACATGCACACACCAATTTTATATTATATATATCAAGTATACCAAATTTGTGTCGTTTCCTACCTTGAAATTGTTGTGAGTAGTGCTTCTAATGAGGGTTTGTATATAAATTTTTGTGTGGTTATATTTTCAACTTTCTCAAATTGGAATTTAGGGTCCTATGGGGACAGCATTGAATTTTCTGTGGAGGCCATAAACAGATTTGTTATGGCTGAATCAGTTATGTGTCTGGCACCAGTGTTCAACATTTGTTGTTCCTCTCCCTTTGTAATGATAACATCCTGATAGCCATAAAGTGGTATCTTGCTTTGATTTTGACTTGTATTTCTTGATTGACTGAACATGTTCCTAACATGTTTTCATGTATTTGTTGACATGTCTTTAACTTTGGAAAGTGTTCTTTAAAAACTGCCCATTTTAAATATATTTTAAAAATTTAATGCGTTTTAAGAATTCTTTATGTGTTCTATATATTAGACCATTTTCTAAGAATATGATTTGCAAGTATTTCATCCAGTTGTCTACATTGTCTTTTCATTCTTTTCATAATGTCCATAAAGCCCTTTGCTTATTTTGTTTGAAATTGCATTGCTGCCTAGTCCAGGTTATGCTGCAACTTGTCAAGATACTTTTGCTTCAGCCTCCCACATGCTGTAATTACAGAGGCATATGACACAATATGCAACATAATGTCCTTTAATGTACAAAAGATTAAAAAAATTTTTTGAGATAGGGTTTCTTTGTGTAGTCTTGGCTGTCCTGCGCTCACTTTGTAGACCAGGCTGGCCTTGAATTCTCAGAGATCTGTCTGCCTCTGCATCCCTGAGTGCTGAGATTACAGTCATGTGTCACCTTTTTCTGCAAGATTTAAATTCTTATGAACTCCAAGTTATGTTTTTTTTTCTTTTGTTACTTGTTCCTTTGGTGCCTTGTCTAAGCAGTGATTGTGAAATCTAAGTTCATGAATATTGCTTCTGTTTTTTTTTTTTTTTTCTAAGAATGGAGATGGCCTGGAACCCCTACAGAGAGGTAGCCCATGACAATTCAGTGTCCAAGTGGGTTCCATAGTAATGGGGACAGGGACTGTTTTGATAGGAACTGATTGGCTTGCTCTTTGATCACCTCCCCCTGAGGGGGAGCAGCCTTACCAGGCCACAGAGGAAGACAGTGCAGCCACTCCTGATGAGACCTGTTAGACTAGGATCAGATGGAAGGGGATGAGGACCTCCTTTACCAATGGACTGGGGGAGGGGTACAGTTGTGAAAGAGGGTGGGAGGGTGGGGATGAGAGGGGAGGAGAGAAGGAGGTACAGGGGGATACAAAGTGAATAAACTGTAATTAATAAAAATAAAGATAAATTTTAAAAAAACATAAATAAAGTAGGTTTGGTGAAAAAATAAGAATTTTAAAGATTTAGCTTTCAGATTTGGATTTTTTTTTCATATTGAAAAAATGCTTCCTTTACTGTTTATTACATGAACATGGCTGATTTTCTCAGTTCCTCTGACCCCTACTTGTGTGTGTGTGTGTGTGTGTGTGTATATATATATATATATATATATACACACATACATACATACATGTGGAATTTTTTAACAAGAATTAGAATTAAGTGTGTTATACAACTTTTTAAAATTCTTTATTAATTACACTTTATTCACTTTGTATCCCCCTGCACAGATGTAGCCCATGGCAGTTCAGTATCCAAGTGGGTTCCATAGTAATAGGAATAGGGACTGTCTCTGACATGAACTGATTGGCCTGCTCTTTGATCACCTCCCCCTGAGGGGGAAGCAGCATTACCAAATCACAGAAGAAGACAATGCAGCCACTCCTGATGAGATCTAATAGACTAGGATCAGAAGGAAGGAAAAGAAGACCTCCCCTATCAGTGGGCTTGGGGAGGGGCATGCATGCAGAGTGGGGAGGAAGGGAGGGATTGGGACTGGAGGAGGGGGGAACCACAGATTTGGATTTTTGACCCATTTGTTTTAATTTTTATATAAGGTATGTATGAGTAGTTAACTTATTTTACCTTTTTTGTGCAGTTAAATCAATTGTTCCAGTATCTCAAAACGTTCAAATTTATTTAATTTTATTTGTGTCTGTTTCTGTGTATGTACCCTTTGTGTTAGTGTATCTTTGTAATAGACAAAAGAGAGGTAAGAAAGAATTTCTATATCCCTGTATAGTTGGAATATATAGTGTTTCTGAATTTTCTTCTTTTTTGTTCCTGACTTTTTCTTTGGCAAAATTTTAAACACTAAACTTTTTGTTAAGTGGATTTGTTATTGAAAACATTGTCTAGAATGCCAATGGAATGTGTGAGCCCGTATATTAAATATTTGTTAATTTGAATACTTTTTCAGTTTTATAGCAGAATCACAATCTGATTATCAATGCTATTCATGCTGTTACAAGATTAAAATTTAATATGTTTTATTTTCATAATTAGTTTAAGCAATGCTTAATTACTATTAAAGATTTATTGAAAATGACAAATGTTTATATGCAATTGAATTAATAATTTCAATTAATATTTCTCAGATACTGTGTCTGCAAAAGTGAAAGTGCCATGGCATGGTGAAACTGTCGAACAGGATTCCAACTGGGGAAGTTTGTTGAACTTTTTATTTCCAACAAGTAAGTTATTGATTTTTCTTTTTTTTTTACTGAAAATGTCTTTGTTTTAAAAACGGTAGTTATGTACTCAGAAAGAAGTATGCTTTCTCAACATTGGAATGGAACTTCCTTTGAGTCCTGACTCTGCCTTTTGCCTTAGGCAAGATAATTTCTCTGGATATTACTGTTTTCATCTTATAATAAAGATACATATCCCAGGAATTGTGAGAATGACCTGGAACAATAATTAAAAGGCAAATGTGCCAGATTAAGTCTTAAGCTTATAATTTTTATAATTTATTTCCTTTAGAATTTAATTTATTTCTAAAGGAAATAAATTAAAGCCTTTGTAGCTTACCTGAGAGGCATGGCCTAATTTTGTCACTAACCTAATATTTTGATATTGATGTCTTCTGTGGCATTAAGCAGTGGCTCTGTTGTTATGGAATATACCAGATATTTTCCCATCTGTGTTAATAATAAAATGTCCAGGTTTCAAGTCACATCATTGTGTGATCTGTATGTGGTATTTTTTTAAATCAAGCACATGATGATACTGGAGAATTATTAACCACAAATAAACATATTTTATTTTGTACAACATATGGTCTCCTTTCAAACTAAGTTCCTTATAAATTGTCATGATAAAGATTTTACTAAAAACTATATAGAATTTATTCTAAAAAATCTGATATACTTATCTAAAAACAAAATTAAATCCATTGTTTAATTCCATATTGTGCCACTCAGATCTGTGGAAAATCTCATTATTCTTCTCTAGTAATTTAATCAAGTATAAAGTAGCTATCCTCATAGGTAGCAAAATAAATGGGCTCTTAAAGAGTATTAAAGCTACTGTCATTGTCAAGTTTATTAAACAAGACATTAATTCTGGGTAAGGGTTATGTTGGATAGGCTAAAAGAAGGGCTTACTTGGTATAAGAAAAAAAAGTGACATTTTAAGTTTTAGAGCTTTGAAAACAATCAGAAATCAACTGTTAAATCAACTAGCATGATAGTACAAAGTTAATTTTAAAATGGTCCAAATGAGATTTTTAATATATTCTTCTTATTATCATTATTGTTATTGTTATTGGTTTTCCACAACAGAATTACTCTGTGTAGCCAGGCTGTCATGGACTCGTTCTGTAGACCAGGCTGCCCTCAAACTCAGAGATCCGTTTGCTTCTGCCACCCTTAGTGCTGTGATTGAGGCTTGCACCACCACACGTGGCTATTTTATTTTATTTTTTTAATATTAATTTTCCTAACCTAACAAAAGAAATTGAATCAAAATTAGTTGTATATATCTGTTTTTCCTCAAATCAATTTTTTCTTCTCCCTCCCTTCTTTTTTTCCTTCCTCTCTCATTTCCTTTCTTTTATTATTTTTGACAGGGACCAACATAGTCAAAGTTAAACTTAAAATTCTTTATGTAAGCAAGGATGATAATAAACTTCAGTTCTTTCTGCTTCCATCTCCCAAATGCTAGAGTTACAAGTCACATATCATCAAGCGTGGTTTTATGTGGAACCAACCCAGGGTGACATGCACATTAAGCAAGGACTTTTCAACTAAGCCACATTCCCAGCCGTTTTCTTTTATTTTTTCCTTTTTTTGTTTATTTTTTCCAGTTTTTAAAATTTATTCATTTTATTATTACAATTCATTTACTTTGTATCCCAGCTGTAGCTCCGTCCCTCATCCCCTCCCAATCCCATCCCCCCATCCTTCTTCTCCTATGACCCTCCCTAAGTCCACTGATAGAGGAGGTCCTCATCCCTTTCCATCGGACCCTAACCTATCAGGTCTCATCATGATTGTCCTCCTCTGTGGCCTGGTAAGGCTGCTCCCTCCTCAGGGGAAGGTGATCAAAGAGCAGGCCAATCAGTTCATGTCAGAGACAGCTCCTGTTTTCCTTACTAGGGAACCCACTTGGATACAAAGCTGCCATGGGCTACATCTATGCAAGGATTGTAAATTATTTCCATGTGTGGTCCTTGGTTTGAGTATCAGTCTCAGAAAAGACCCCAGTGTCCAGATATTTTGGTTCTGTTGTGCTCCTTGTGAAGCTCCTGTCCCCTCCAGGTCTTCCTATCTCCCCCTTCTTTCACAAGACTCCCTGCACATAAAAAGCCTTAAAATTAAAAAAAAAAAAGACTTCCTGATAGGGGAGGACCTTCTCCCTTTTCATCTGACCCTGGTTTATCAGGTATCTTCAGGACTGGCTGTCCTCCCCTATCAGTGGACTTGGAAAGTGGCAGGGAGGAGATGAGGGAGAGAGGGTGGGATTGAGAGGGAATGAGGGAGCTGGATACAGCTGGCATACAAAGTTAATAAACTGTAACTATTATTAAAAAAAAAAGGCTCCCTGTACTCTCCAAAGTTTGGCTATGAGTCTCAGCATCTGCTTTGCTACCCTACTGGGTAGAATCTTTCAGAGCCTCTCTGCAGTAGACTCCTATCCTGTTCCTTGTTTTTTCTCTCTTCCAATGTCCACCAATGTCCATACCATTTGCCTTTCTGAGTGAGGATTGATCATCTTACCCAGGGTCGTCGTCCTCCTTGCTTAGCCTCTTTAGGTTTACAGATTTTAGTATGTTTGTGTGTCTTTCTGCTTCTGGGATACCTCACTCAGGATGATCTTTTCTACTTCTCACCATTTGGCTGCAAATTTCATGATTTCCTTGTTTTTAATTGCTGAGAAGTATTCCATTGTGTAAATGTACCACATTTTCTGTATCCATTCCTCAGTTGAGGGGCATCTGGGTTGTTCCTACATTCTGCCTATTATGAACAAAGCTGCTGCCAACATGGTTGAGCAAATGTCCTTGTTGTATACTTGAGCACATTTTTTTTTGAAAGGAACATTTGACCTTGATTGATTCACATGTTTGAAAGCACAAGATTATTCTCCCACTTTTCCTGATGACTCCATGTGCTTGCCCAAAGTTTGGCTCAAGTCTTAGCATCTGCTTGGTGGACAGAAGTATCCAAAGAAGACAGGAGCTCTACAAGGAGACCAACCAAGCCAAAAAATGCAGAGACTGACATACCAACCAGGGACTTTGCATGGAGAGGACCTAGATCCCCTGCTCAGATGTAGCCAATTGGCAGCTCAGTGTTCATGTGGGCTCTCTAGTTAAGGGGAGAAGAGACAGTCTCTGACATGAACTCAGTTGTCTGCTCCTTCTTTACTTCCATCTGGTAGAGGTTCCTTGTCAGGCCAAAGAGGAAGAGGATGGAGGCAGTCCTACCTAATGAGACTTGATAGACTAGGGTTAGATAGTAGGGAAGGCAGGCTCCCTTTTTCTGAGGACTAGGGCAGTAGTAGGATAGGGGGAAGAGGGAGGGAGGATGGGACCTGGAGGAGCTGAGGGAGTGGCTACAATCGGGATGCAAAGTGAATAAATTATAAATAATAAATTATAAAAGAAATACACACAGTAATAATATTTATCAATTGTACATGCTATCTTCTTTGAAAACAATAATTGTGAACTACCTAATGGAAAAGATTTTGAGTATTCCCAACACAAGGAAATGATAAATGTTTAAGGTGATGTATATACAAATTACTCTGAAATAATCATTGCACATTATATATATATTTATATTATATATATATTTATATATTCTTATTTATTTATTTATTTATATTATTTACATTTATATTTATATATTGCAAGGTCACTGTACCCTATAAAAGCATACAATTTTTGTATGTCAGTTAAGGATACTTTTTGTGATTAAGTTTATTTTTTAAATATTTGTGTTTTTAAATTAGCTTTTAAAAAGTAACATACAAGGAAGTAGGTCAGTATAACATTTTCATTCTTACTTTGTTTTTGTTGATCTTTACCAGTCTTATTTCTCTGCTCACCTCCTGCTTGTCTACTTTCTTCCCTCAGTAACCCAGTTTTGCCTCATGTCATAAATATTCATGTTTTTAATCATTTATTTTTATTATTTTTAATCATGTTTCTATGTCACTTTGGGATTATGTACGTGTGTGCGGGTACTCACTTGGGGTAAAAAAGGTATTGAATTCTTCTGGAGCTGGAGTTACAAGCAAGTGTGAATCACTTCACAAAGGCATTAGGAATCAAACTCTGGTCTTCTGGAAGTATAGTACATGCTCTTAACCTTTGAGCCATCTCAATCTCCCACATATATTCAGCTTATTTTTTTTTCCTTCTTTTGCCCACTCCCTTAAGACCTTTTTTTACCCCTGTCATAAGTCTCTTTTCTAGTTTTATACCCATCACATACTTACACAGATATAAAAATTAAAATAGAGGATATGGGATGTGCATATGAAAGAGGGCATGTATGTAGCATTTTCTTTTCTGAGTTTGAGATGCTTAATAGAATAATTCTTAATTTCCTCTGTTTTTGTCTAAATGTCATGATTTCAGAATCACAAAAGGTATCCTTAACTGCTCTTTAGTTCCTTCTGTGTTGCCTTGGGCAATACCATTCCCCTAGTGGCTATAGTTCTTTTAAAAGTGTCTTACCAGGCTAGGGATTTAAGTCAATTCATAAAATGTTTACCCAACATGCAAAAGCTTTGAGTTTGAGCCCCAGCACTGCATGAAACTGGGCATAGTGGTGTACATCCTTAATCTAGCACTGGGAAGCAGAAATAGGAGGATCTCTCTCAAGTTCAAGGTCATCTGTGGCTGTATAGAGAATTTGATATATAGGTTATCCTAGGGTACTGGAGACCTCTCAAAAAAAAACATCCTGTAAATTATCAACTTTGCAGGCAAATGGTGGGATCTAGAAAAGATCATCCTGAATGAGCTATCACAGAAACAGAAAGACACACATGGTATATACTCACTTATAAGTTGGTATTAGATATATATTATAAGATAAACATACTAAAATCTGTACACCTAAAGAGGCTAAGCGAGAAGGAGGACCCTGGGTAAGATGATCAATCCTCACTCAGGAAGGCAAACGGGATGGACAATGGAAGAGGGAAGAAAGCAGGGAATAGGACAGGAGTATACCATAGAGGGCTTCTGAAAGACTCTACCCAATAAGATATCAAAGCAGATGCTGAGACTCATAGCCAAACTTGGGGCAGAGTGCAGGGAATCTTATGAAAGAAGGGAGAATGAGGAAGACCTGGAAGGGACAGGAACTTCACAAGGAGAGCAACAGAACCAAAAAATCTGGGCCCATGAGTCTTTTCTGAGACTGTTACTCCAACCAAGGACCATGCATGGAGATAACCTAGAACCCCTGTATAGATGTAGCCCATGGCAGCTTGTATCCATGTGTACCCTAGAAAAGGGAAGAGAGGCTGTCTCTGACATGAATTGATTGGCCTGCTCTTTGATCACCTCCCCCTGATGGGGGAGCCGCCTTACCAGGCTACAGAGGAAGACAATGAAGCCAGTCCTGATGAGACCTGATAGGCTAGGTTCAGTGAACTAGGAAAGGGGTATGGGAAGAGATGAGATGAGAGAGGGAAGGTGGGGTTGGGAGGGAATAAAGGAAGGGGCTACAGCTGGGATACAAAGTGAATAAACTTTAATTAATATAAAAAATAAAAATTAAAATAAAAAGACATCCTATTAGTTAACAATTTATGTATTTCTGCAGATTGCCTTGTATGAAAAGTATATTTTTAAAATAACTGTGGTAACCTTTATTTTCTCATCTTAACCTTAGCATTCATCATTATTTTTGAATGTGCTGTGTTAAGCGTTTTTCATTTTTCTCAAGTTTTGTATTTTTTGATTGTGAAAAGTGTTTATTAATCATACTAATGATTCCTTCTTGAATTCTTATTTCTGAAAGCATGCATCATAAGGGATTATCAGAAGGTAGTGGCGTGTAACAACAAGTCACATGTCAGTAAGGGTGAATGTTTAAAATACAAGTGCTGCTTTTCATCATCTGGGACCATAACGAGGTGCTACGCCCCACTAAGAGACAGTAAGTAAATCCTGTCTCATTTGTTTGTTTATTTTAAATACTGAAAAAAAGGAATAGAAAACTATTTAAATATCTTTCAAGGTTTTATGTATATATTTAGATTTCCTAGCTTAACATTTCAAAGGAACTCCAAAACCAAGACCAGTGTTATCAATAGAAATCTTGAGGAAGTTCTCTAATGGTTTCTGTTTATCCCTTAGATGATGACAAACCATTCAGAATTAGTCCAGCCTGTTCTTTTGGTTCTGTCACTTCCCTCTCCCCCCCTTTTTTCCAGATTATCTAAGCTACTGTATGAGATATGACCCTCTTCCTGAGAGAAGATACTATAATGGTATCTAGCAATATTTTATTTATCAAATTACTGACCGTTTTCCATTGCTTTATTACAGCTTGTGCAGAGTTGTATGATATGGCATAGTCTTTGCTTCCAAGATTTGAGTCAGGAGACAGGAATTTCAGAGCCTGGCAGGATTGTCAGCTTTTTTTTCTGACATAATCTGTGTGGCAAGGGTCACAGCTAATGACTTGTGTTCCTATGCTCTGTGACATAAGGCTAACCATCATTAAACTGATGTTAACCCAGATCCTAGTAGTAGACTCCTGACACATGTATTAGTTTATGCTAACATGATTCAGTTCTTGTTTTAATATCAAAAAATATTTTTTTTGTTTTGTTCTGTTTCTTAGACTAACTACAGAGTTAGAATAAATTAGAAGAGGCAATCTAATGGCTAAAATTACCATTTGTATTTTATTTGCTGGAATACTTTTTTATGGTTATTTGTTGAAAAGGATTTTAAAATTCATTGCACTTGGTTAGAAAATCCAATTTATAAGTATGTCTTATGAATGTTTTTAAAAGAGTATAGTAGTTCCTTTTCTTGGTGCTGTGATACAGATGCCTGACAGAAATAACTTAAATGAAGAAAGGTTAATTTTACTCACTGTTTCAGAGGGTTCAATCCATGGTTTCTCAGTTCCATGTACTTCAAAGAACATCATGGTAGTTGGAACATGGCACAGGGGGGAGGAGAGCAGAGTGAGCAATTTCATGACCAACTAGGAAGCAAAGCTGGAGAATACAGGAGAAGGCCAGGGCAGGATGTACTTGTTCTACTTGGGCCCTACCTCTACTTTTCACTGTTTCCCAAATGCCATTAGTAAACTATAAATCTAGCAAGTGATTAAACCTTCCATTAATTGTAGAGGAGCTGTCATCATCTAATCTGTATAGAGATTTTCTTACAGGTAAGTTCAGAGGTGTGCTTCACTAATCTCTCAGGGTTTTCTGAATCTAGACAATGACCAATCAACATTTACTATCACAGGCAGCAATCCCTTCTCATTCACTGGAAACAACTTAGATGATATACCTAAACCAAAAGAGAGATTAACTGGAGAAAAACATCACACATTGATTTGATTATGCTTTTATGTAATACTGAGGCTTTTGAATTAAGAGTTGATGATGCAAGGTAACATTTAATATACTTAGATTCTCTGAAGCATAGACACATGTAGAAATGTTTTGGCAAAAGAGTGTGATTTAAATGGGGAAATCTGAGAAGGTCTGTCCAAATTCTTAATGACATCTCTGTATAGCATTCCTTCCTCGCAGGTATTTGCCTCAGGGCCCTTTTTGAAATAGACGTCCTATGACCTACTAAGTCAGAGATTTCTTACTTTTTGTTTTCTCCCCTCTTTCATTTTTTGTTTTTTTAAATTAATAAGTGTGGTCTCATGAAGATCAGACTTGTCTCAGATTTGCTGTGTAGTTAACAATGACCTGTAACTTCTCACTTTTCTATCACAACCTCAGCTGCTCAAATTAGCCATGTGCCATAGGACCCATCTGGTCAGAGAACTGAATGTCATGGGAAGGTCTGAGTAACAGTTTTGAGCTTATGGATGGCTTTGGGGGAAAGAACTGCTTTCTTTGGCCTGTCTTAGGGTAAATAAATTTGAATTTCTCTGGGGAAGAGAAAAGTAGGAAATAGGAAGCCAGGAGAAAATCAGAAAGAAAATTGGCTTTTATTTTCTGAGACAGATGTCTCCTGCTTTCTAGTCTGACTTTGAACTTTCTTTGTAGCACATGATGACCTTGAATTTGCACTGAGATTATAGGCATAGACTGTCACACTTAGTTCATGTGGCACTAATGATTAAGCCTTGGGCTTCATGCATACTAAGGAGATATTTTAGCAGCTTCTGGGCTTCTAAGGCTACATGTAAGGCCTTTCCTCTGGAGTATCAGTTTCTGCTTAGTCCTAATAATACCAGTTAGGCATGCCTTAAAAAGCTAAGCCTATACTTAACATTTTATTCTGAATTTCTCTTCCTATTTAAAATTCTTCCAATTTATCCTCTCTTCAACAACTTGGCATGTAGTAGTATACATGAATGTTTCATGTTTTATTTGCTTTTCTTTGTTCTGTCTCTTTTAGAATAACCCAACATAAAATTACCCTCTTAAGATTTTTATTTATTACTGAAGTTAAAGAAATATACCATCTGTTTTTTTTTCTTAATTTCATTTGCTAGCAGTGACATACTGTCAGACTCATGATGAATGGATTTTGATGTGATAGAGCACTAAGAAATGATAACAGGATCCATGCAGAACAATATCTTAGGTTTATATAAGTCCTTATTTAATTTGGAGCTCTTTGTTGTACATTTTGTATTAATAATGAAAATTAAAGCCTAATCATGAATATAATATTGCAGTTTAAATGCTGTCATATAGTACTTAGAATTCATTCATTACTTTACTGTTTTTTCTTATGTATGAAGAAACGTTTGGTTCTTTTAGTGGAAAAATTGACCCATGATTTACCATTCCCCAATCACATCATAATGCATTTCTTAGTGCATATGAAGCTAAAGTATGATTATTCACCTCAATTTTTGATTCTGTAGTTATTTGAGTACTTCATAATTTGGAAGTAAACACTGAAGAAGTCATTTCTTTCCCAAGTTAACTGTTCATAGATTGATTTGGTTTTTCAGATGCTCTAGGATGCAGAAGATGCGGCCATAGAACAAGAACAGTTAAGGCCATATAAAGAATCCAATATTATTAATTATAATCTGCCAATGAAAATGGTCTGATTATTTTGTTAAGATACTGTTAGGGGGGCACCTTTTGAAAGTACCTGAAACATAACAAGAATATTCACCTTTATTTTGCTTTATTAACTCATAGTTGTTTTTTAAATAAATACTTTGTAAAATAGTTCAGATTTGCTTCTTTTGCCTAGTCATAAAAGTAAGAGTTTATAATTAAACCAACAGAGCCTGCACAGATGTTCCGAGTATTTGGATTTGCTGTGATCGGCATGATAGTCCTGGGATTTCTGCCTATGTATTGCTATTCTTTTTGCCGAAGGAGGTAGGCACACATAAACCTTTCTTTGCTAATTGTTAACTATATGTGGATATTTGTGTATAAACACATTTATTCCAGTACTTTAAATATGAACAGATTATGTTTGGGTTCCTTTGTTTTTTTGAGAAAACCTAAAAATAAATTTAGCAATTTTTTAAAGGTACGTCATATTTTTCCACAAATATAAGATGTCTTGTTTAATAGTGTCTATATATTTCATCATAAAATCCAAACAGGAAGGAAAAAGAACTCTGCAAGCCAGAGATGTGTGGAGTTGGGGTAGTTATTAACTGTAAATGAATGGGATCTCTGGATCTCTTAGGCTGCCATTGGTCTTCTACCCTTGGTCTTGAAACATTGGTCTGTCTTTAAAATAAGTTATGTCAGATCTATTTCTTAGAGACTTATGCAAAATCTCAATGGAAAACTAGCACTTACTGTTGTCAAATTTGTTCATTTTTTTTTTTTTTGTAGATCTCCACCCACTGAAACAGAATGGGTGTGAAAGTACACAGTAGCGCCAGAATTAGAGTGTGAAACAAGAATACAGCTTAATGCCATAGTACTTTCTTTGCATGAGTATCAAGGGTTCAATTCCCAGAGCTGAAAAAAAAATTGCTAGGTTTCTGGAAACATAGGACTTAGCGAAATTCCACATTCATATTCAAGTACAAGGTCACTACAGGCATGACTGAGAGAGAACAAGTACCTCCATCAGTTTTCTGGGAAAAGTTGTTGGTTGCAGATTAAGCATTTCTGATGTTTTTTTAAAACTTATTTTATTTTCTATAAGGATCAAGATTTCATTACATCAACAAATCATTTATGCGTGTGTGTGTATTTGTGTGTATTTAGTACTGAGGATTGAACATAAGACTTTGTGTGTGACAGGGAGGTGCTTCATTGCTAAGGGAAGTCCTGTATCACAAACCTATGTCCCCAGCTTTTTCACTTTTTACTTATAGTCAGGAGCTCATTGAGTTGTCCATCATGGTTTTGAAGTTACTATATAGTTCAGGTTGTTCTTGTAGTTTTGGTTTTCTTTCCTCGGCTTCTACATTGCTGGGATGATAGGCCTGTACCACAAGTGCAACTTTAACAGATCATTTTGAATTTTTCTGTTAAGTCAACATTTCACCTATTCTTGCTTGCATCCAAGCCAGTTCCTTTTTTTAAGGTTTCATTCAGTTTCAAATTTTGACTGGATGATTTTCTCTCTGTGTGGACATGCTCATGTGTATGACGGTACATTTGCTCGTGTTTGTGAGGAGGCCAGAGGATGCTAGATGTTCTGGTCTATCACCCTCCACATTATTCATTGAGACAAGCTGAGGCTACAGGTACACAAGGCCACATTTAGCATTTTTTTAATGTTGTTGTTAATAACCAAACCCAAATCCTCATGGTTGTACACCAAGTACTTTAACTTGAGGGTATGGTTTCTATTCTATAGCTTTTCACTCGTCTTTCTGTCTCTATTTCTTGAAAGCAAAGTCATGTCATCTTTTAAAAAGATATTTATGTATTTACTTGTGTGGGTGACTGACCTGCATGCATACTTGCAGTACATACTTGCATGATGCCCAAGGAGGCCAGAGGGGAGCATGTCCTAGGACTGGAGTTACAGATGGTTGGAAGTCACTTTATATGTTCTTGGAATCAAACCGATGTCCTTTGGAAACACAGCAAGTGCTCTTAACCACTAGAAAATCTTTTCAGCCCCATATTTACCTTTCTCATTTTTCCCTTTTCCTAAGTAACTGGGAGTAGGAGTACAATTTTTATTCTCTTCTTCCCTTCAAAGCTTACTTTTATATGAAAATAGCTTATGAATAAAAGTGAAGTTTTTGTTAGTCTTCAATGATTAGAATTATGCCTTACAATTTAGAAAGTATCTGGATAATAAGATTGGTATAATTTCACTTGAATCTTCCATTGCACTTTTAGCAATGAGGACATTCACATCCATTGGACGCTTCTCTTTACAATAAAATCCAAAGATTATCCCCTGATGAGAACATATTTTATATTTTTACAAAATACAAACTGTTTGAGAGACTTATTCTCTGTGAATGAGAATGGGAAGTCCATGTTTTCGTTTCTTCTGCAATTATAGTAGTGTTTTGTATAAGAGGTTTACGCTCCTTCTGTCTTTCTGAGCTGCCAATATGGCTCCAGAACAGGTGGCACTTTAACCTAGGTGTTTAGCTCAGTTTTTAGGGCCAGCAGCTGAGTGTAGATAGATCACAGTCAGCTTATCCCATTAGGATGCTTTTATAAGCAAAGAGCAGATAAGGAGATAAATGGAGGTCAACGATTTTGAAACTCCCTTGGAGGGGCAAGATGTCTCCTTAGGATAATCCTCTTAGCTCACTTCCTGTCTCCATTTCAAAGAATAAAGGATATAAGATATTAAATTAGTCAAAATAAGTAACCCTTTAAAATGAAAATAGGTATAGCAGTAAAATTAATATAAGTAGCTATTTAAAAATGAAAAGAGGGAGTGGAGAGAGGGCGCAGCAGTTAAAAATGTGTAGTGCTCTTCTTTCAAAGGCATGCTCAGAACTACCTGTAATTTCCACTCTGGAGATATCTGAGGCCTCTGGCTTCCAAAGGCACCTGTAGTCACATGCACATACTCCCTTTTCACACACATACATTTACACACAGTGACGTTTTAAAGTTAAATCTTTAAAAAGAAAAAGCTGCCAGACACAGTTGTTTATTTAAATCACAGGAACTAAAAGGCAAGTACACATCCACAGTAACATGATTTTTGCTTCTGCTTAAAATGTCCTTTTGCTACTTTAGCATTGGAAGGTACCCTTGTACCTTAACACATTTGGTCTTACACATGAGACACTAGATTGTTCCCTAGGAAGAAAACTTCTAACAGCTCTATCTGTCTTCAGTTGCAAACCAAAGCACATGAGATTTTGATATTCTCTTGCCTCTTAAGTTTGGACACTATCTTTTATTTATATTTCACTTAACAACTGGAAGTAATTGGAGCAATGAAAAATGAGAATAAGTTGGAGAAGTGAAAGCTGCATTGGTGAAGATTACCATCACTCTCCAGAACTAAATAGAAGTCCTTTATTTATTTGGTGCTTCATGATATCTGCAGCTGAGTGTATTCATTCAGCATTTGACTTGCTGTGTAATGTAGAGCATACAAAGATTTTGACGATAAAAGCCTTATTTTTAAATGTATTTATTTATATATGCAAGTTTCTTTGTGAGTGTATGTGTGCACACCCATGTGTGTGGTGAATATGTGTGTGTGTGTGTGTGTGTGTGTGTGTGTGTGTGTGTGTGTGTATGTGCGTGTGCATGTGCATGTGTGTGGAGGCCAGAAGATGGCAACAAAAGTTCTCTGGTTTAGCTCTTTGCTTATTCCCTAAAGGTAAGGCTTTATCTCTGAAACTGGGGTTCATATTTTCTTGGTTAGCCTAGAAACCAGAAAACCCCATAAACCATTCTTTCTCTCTGCCCATCTCAGAGCTGGTGTTACAAGTATTTTGAGGGACACATAGTTTATTTTGTGGGTGCTGAGATAGGAAGATAAACAAGAAAGAACACCCGGGGTAAGATGATCAATCCTCACTTAGAAAGACAAATGGGATGGACATTTGATGTAGGAGAAAACAAGTAACAGGACAAAAGCCTACCGCAGAGGGCCTCTGAAAGACTCTACCTAGCAGTGTATCAAAGCATATACTAAGACTCATAACCAAACCTTCGACAGAGTGCAGGGAATTATATGAAAGAAGGGGGAGTTAGTATGATGTGGAGAGGATAGGAGCTCCACAAGGACCAAATATATCTGGGCACAGGAGTCTTATATGAGACTGTTTCTCCAACCAAGGACCATGTATGTATTTAAGTTAGAACCTCTGCTCGAATGTAGCCCGTGGTAGATCAGTAACCAAGTGGGTTACCCTAGTAAGGGGAACAGGGACGCTTTCTGACATGAACTCAATGGCATGTTCTTTGACCTCCCCACCCCCAAAGGGAGGAGCAGTCCTGCTAAGCCACAGAGGAGGACTTTGCAGCCACCAGAGTCAGATGAAAGGGGAGGAGGTCCTCCCTTATCAGGGGACTTGGAAAGGGGCAGGGAAGAGATGAGGGAGGGAGGATGGGATTGGGAGGGAATGAGGGAGCAGGATAAAGCTGGGATACAGAGTTAATAAAATATAACTCATAATAAAAATAAAAAATAAAAAAGACTGTAAATATGCGATAGGTGATATAAGAAGTACATGTCCTTATAAATCCAGAGGTACTTTCCAGAAGGTTACTGAAAATATCTATGTTCAAACAAATGTGCTGTATTATTCTCACATGATGATATGGTTCTCATGATGGTGATAGTCTCAATGTCACTTATTTTCTTAGAATGATATGTAAAGAACCGGAAATAAATCTGTGAAACTTTCCCTAAAACTTCTCATCAATTAAAGTAAAAAGGCTTTTATAGATTCAATCCCTGTGTTTTTATGTTTCATTTTATGATGCAATATAATGAATAATATCATTTTTAAAAGCTTTATGTAATAATTAGGCAACACTTATAAGGTTTGCAAATCTTAGCATTATATTCATATAAATACAGAAGAATAAATTCTATAAATTTAAAGATTGTTTTGTAAGAATTTTCATAAAATATATCACATGGCAATGTTGATTAAATGAAACACTTGTAACACTATGGAATTGAAATTGTGTAAATTCCATTCTTTTGGAAGGTGTTCAAAGTAAATTAAGTTCTGGAACAATAGTATAACCTCATTATATGTGGATTATATCGCTAAGATATTCCTATCACAAGGAATCCCAAAGCAGTATTTTTGAGAATTTTTGAATAGTAACCAATAACTATTCTGTCAAGTAATTAATAACACTTTTGAAGAATTCAGTGGCCTTTCTCAAACCTCATTTAACTAGACCTTTTGTTTATCTTTCACTGTTGACTGCTTTGTTCTTGAAACTTCCTCCCTTGGATTTTTTTTTTTTTTGGCCAAATATTTGTTTATTTAAATGATGCAGTGATAAAGGTTTCCAGGCTTGCAGTTTAGGGGCTTGTTCACTATTGTGGGCCGAATGTGGCATTCTTTCTTTCTTCATTTTTAAATTTTAAATTTTTATTTTTTTATATTAATTAGTTTATTTTCTTTGTATCCCAGCTGTAGCCCCCTCCCACATTCCCTCCCAATCCCAGTCCCCATCCCTCTAGGATAAACATACTAAAATCTGTACACCTAAGGAAGCTAAACAAGAAGGAAGACCCAGGGTAAGATGACAAATTCTCACTTAGAAAAACAAATGAGATGGACATTGGAAGTAGGAGAAAACAAGAAACAGGACAGGAGCCTACTATAGAGGGCCTCTGAAAGACTCTACCTAGCAGTGTATCAAAACAGATGCTGAAACTCATAACCAAATTTTGGGCAGAGTACAGGGAATCATACGAAAGAAGGGGGAGTTAGTAAGACCTGGAAAGGA